ACACACCAACACAATTCATTGAGAAAAGGACAATCATGTCAACAAAGGGTACTGAGACAATTGAAAATGCACATTAATGGACAACCTCACCTCATGCCCTACATGAAAATTAACTCAAAAGAGACCAACAACTTAAAGGTAAGAGCTAAAACTATAGAACTTCTAGAAGAAAACAAAGGAGTAAATTTTCATGACCCATTTTAAGCCCAAGAGTTCTTAGAAATGCCACCAAAAGCATGATCCATAAAAGAAAAAAGTCAGTAAATTATTTTATCAAAATTAATAACTTTAGTTCTGAAAGACACCTTAAGGAAATGAAAGGACATCCCACACACTGGGAGGAAAGATTTGTAAATCAGATATTTGACAAAGGACTTGTCACCTGAGTATATCAAGAACACTTATTGAATTGAATAAGAACAAGACAATTCAATTCAATAACAACGAGACAACCATATTTCTCAAATGGGTCTGGAGACTTGGGTAGATACTGCACCAAAGAAAATATATGCCCAGCAAAGTATCTCATAGAAACATGTTCAAGTAGTGACATTCAAAATGCAAACTAAAACCACAGTGAGATATATTGAATATCTACAATTGTTTTTTTACAAAGGCAATACCAAGCCCTGTTAAGGATGTGGTGAAACAGGATCTCTTGTACAGTGCTGTGAGGGATGTGGGAATGTAAATGATATAATCACTTTGGAAAAATAGTATGACAAGTTCTTTAAAAGGTGAACATAAACTTACAATCATACCTAGCAATTCCATACCCAGGGATCATCCAAAGAGAAATGAAAATAAATGTCCACAAAATACACTCATGCAAACATTCATAATAACACTATTCATAACCATCAAAATGTGGAAATAACCCCATAGCCCATCACCAAGTGAGTGGACACAGAAATGTGGTGCTGTATATCTGTCCCATGGATACCTCCGCAAAAAAGGGCAATGAACTATTGCTACATACCACACGTGATACATCTCGAAACATTATGCTAAGAGGCCAGTTGCAAAGAGTACATGTAGGGGAACACCCTTTATGTAAAATGTCCCAAAATAAATGAGTCAGGTCAGTGAATGCCAGGGATGGTGCGGGGGAGGGGGATAGGTCAGGCAGAAGTGAGGATTAACCACAAAAAACCACACGGGAATTTGCTGAGTGGTAGAAATATTTACTGCTGGACTCTGGTGATGGCCACACAATCTATAAGTTTACTTAGAATCATTAAATTGCACTCTTAAATGAGTGAACTTTTTTAGTAAATTCTACCTCAGTAAAACTTTTTCTTTTTTAAAAAATAGCTGTGTGTGGCCAGAAGAAGAAAACAAGGAAGAGCAAACATAGTTCTCTTGCTTCTGTTTCTCTGTCAGGCGTCCCCAGTTCTGCATGAAGAGAAGGCTCCTCTGCTCCTAGAATAAAGGCAAAAGCCAGCATAGCTACACCCTGCTCCTCCTCAGCTTTGCTTTCCACTGCTTCCCCATTCTCTTTTCCCACCCTAAACACACTGGCCTTCTCTCAGGATCTCATGTTGGCATGTCTCTCCTACCTCAGTGCCTTTGCACTTGCTATCTTCCCTCACCAGGATATTCCATTTTTTCCTAATTAACTTCTACACAGTCTTCAGATCTTGGATCAATGATTCCTTCCTGGAGAAGCCTTTCCTGATTTCTTGGACGAGGCCAAACTTCTCTACTCACTGATATCATAGACCTTATGCCTTTCTCCTTCATACAACTTAACAGAGTAGCAACTTTTCTTTTATTTAGGCTATAATTTGATTAACATTAATCCAGTCCCTTTAAAGGTAGAGCCCATATCTCCTTGGCTTACCAATGTACTCCAGAGCCCAGCAGATTGCCTGGAACATAGTTACACAGTTACTTGTTAAATAATTCACTGAACATTAAAATTCTAAACTTCTTGGCCGGATGTCCTGGCACACACTTGTAATCCCAATGCTCAGGAGGCTGAGGCACAAGAATTTCTGTGAGTTTGAGGCCATCCTGGGCTACATAGTGAGTTCAAGGCCAGCCTGAACTACATAGTGAGTCTCAAAAAACAAAAAAATTCTAAACTTCTTAAGATCAAGCAATTGTGTCATTCAAACTTTTGCAATTTTGAGATGTAATAGCCCATCACATTATGCAATTATTATGTTCCTGAAATGTTTCATGTGTCAGAGAGCACAAAACTATAAAACAATGAAAAAAGTCTGATCTTGCACTTTGTAGTTTCATCATTTAAGGCATGTTCCCCTCCTTCTAGCAAACAAAAAAGGAGAAAATACACAAATGACCAACATCAGTAATTAAAGAATGATCATCACTATTGAGCTGATGGACATCAAAAAGATAATAAGGGATTAATAAACAGACAGTTCTATGCACATAGATATGATAATTCAGATGAAGCAAAACAAGTACTTAAAAGCCACAAACCACCAAAACTCACAGAAGGACAAATAAATAACCTGAATGGCTCTATGTCTATTAAAAAGTTGAATCAATAACTGAAACCCTTCCAAAAAATTTAAAACTAGGCCGAAATGTTTGAGGAAATTTCCTTCATTTCTTAGATTGCTCAGAATTGAACCTGATGAGTGTGACTGTGTGCATGGTTATGATATTTGAGCACTGAACTTTGTCTAATGCTTTCTCTACATCAGTTAATATGACTTTTCTCTTTAACCTCTTGATATGGTGGAATACACTAACTGATCTGCACACGTGGAAATATTCCTACATCTCTGGAATGAAGCCTACATGAGTAGCATGTACATTTTCTAATGTACTGTTAAATACAATTTGCCGATATTTTGGGGCAAAAGAGACTATCCCTAATTTAATAGTCTCACCACTAACTATAATGATAATATCGCTCACCACTTATACTGCAAGCCCTAACCAGAGCAATGAGACGAGAAAAAGGAACAAGAGATGTACGTATCAGAAAGGAAGAAATAAAATTGTCTTTACTCACAGATGGCATGATTGTTAGAAAACCTAAAACATTCTTCACATAAACCTCCTAGAAATAATATGTGAGTATACAAAGTCACAAGATACAAGATCAATAGACAAAAGTCAATCTTTTTCTCACATGCCAGAAATGAATAATTGGGATGTACAATATACATATATTTAAATACCTTTCTAATAGAACCCAAAAAAATTACTTACAGACACTGATCTGTAAAATATTTTGCAGATACTGATTTTAAAATTTATATGGAAAGGCAAAGGACCTAGAATAGCCAACAACATAACAAACACTTAAAAAGCAGAATAAAATTGGAGGATTGCCACAATCCAGTTTCAAGAGTAACTATAAAGCTACAGTAATCAAGACAGCAAAAGTTAGACACACAGATCAATGGACCAGAATAAAGTGCCCAGAAATATACTCACACAAATATAACCAACTATTTTTTTTTTAACAAAGGAGCAAGGCAGTTCAGCTGAGAAAGAATAGTCTGTCTCTTCAGCAAATGATGCTAGGACAACCAGACCCCTATGCCAAAAAATTAAAAACCAAGGCATAGACCTTACATCTTTAAAAGAAAATTAAATCAAAATTGATCGTAGACCTAAGTTTAAAATGCAAAAACTGTAAAATTTTCTAAAAGGAAGTGTAGGGGGAAAATCTAGGTGATCTTGGATTTGCGAATCAGTTTGCAGCTACAACATCAAAAGCATGCTACATGGCGGACAAATTGACATGTTGGAGTTTATTAAAATTAAACACTTCTATGAAAAAGATGCTGTTAAAAATTAAGGCAGCAACTGGAGGAAAATACATACAAAACACATATCTAGTAAGAAAAAGACTGTCCCCCAAATATACAAAGAACCCTTAAAATTCAACAATAAGAAAACAAAGAACCTAGTTAGAAAGATCTGAACAGACACCACACCAAAAAAGATATACAGACAACAAGTGAGCATGTGAAAAGACGCTCAACATCATTTGCCACTAGGGAATTGCTAATTAAAACAACGATAAGGTAACCCTACGTACCTGTTAGAATAGCTAAAATCCAAAAGAAAAGAATGATACCAACTGCTGGGAGGAATGTGGAACAACAGAAATTCTCACTTACTGCTAGTGGGAATGCAAATGGTAGAGCCACTTTGGAAAACAGTTTGGCAGTTTTTCACAAAGCTAAACATAGCCTTCCAATAAGATCCAGTTGTCAGACTCCAAGGTATTTACCCAACTGATCTGAAAACATGTCTGCATAAAAACAGTGATAGAAATGTTTATAGAAACTTCATCATAATTGCCAAAAAACTACTAGCAATTAAGATATCCTTCACTAGGTGAATGGATAAACAAGCTATGATACAGCCATACAATGAGATATTATTCGGCAGTAAAAATAAATGAGTTACCAAGCCCTGCAAAAGCATTGGTGGATTTAAAATATATACTGCCAAATGAAAGAAGCCTGTCTTAATAGCCCATATACTCTGATTCCATTTATATAATGTTCTGGAAAAGATAAATCTACAGAGATGATAGATCAACACCTTCCTCATACACACACGCATATCTCAAAGGCACAGCCAACTTAATCTGTTCAGCATGGAACCCCCAGTCTTTCCTTCTATGCCTGGTCTACCTGCGTCACCTCCACACACTCATCCAGTTACTCAAGTTGGAAACTCAGGAGTCACCTTGACACCTCCCTCTCCTTCATGCCCAATGCCCAGCCTCTCATTGAGCCCTGATGACACCATCTCCTACACGTGTCAAATCCGCCTGATCCTCTGCACCTTTGTATCCTCTTTCCTAAAAGCCCCTCCACCTCCTGTCTGTGTGGCCATCATAACTGATATCCCTGCAGTCTCTCTGGCTGGTTCCACTCAAACACATGCCCCATTCATAAGCCATTGTGATGGCGGAAAGGCAGTTCTGACCCTGTCATCATCTACCTGCAGATACCTCAGTGGCATCTTGTTTCCCTTAAAGGAAAACAGAGCTCTTTACATCTGAAACTTCACATGATCTAGCCTCTGCCCTTCCCTCTGGGCCAGCTCTCAGCAGAGCCCCTCTCTCTATCTTCGGCTCTACCCTCACAGACTTCCGTGGATTATGCTAGTAAAGGTGACAGGGTAGCTAAGCTCCCTCCCGCCCTCAGCACCCCTCTGTCATCAAACCCCTTTTCCAGCTGCCCCTCCTCATGGGAGACCGGAGCACCTCCTCTTCCTCAGGAGATGCTGGGTAGATTTGCTTCAGAAGCTTCCAGTCTTATGAAATTGCCTGTGGCATCAGCTCTCTGGGTAAGTTCAAGGAAAGGTGCTCAGGCTCAGCAGGAGATCTCAGAGTGGCATGGCCTTTTGACCCCACACCCAGGCAGGCAGTACCCACTTCTTAGCATTAACTTGAGAAAATGCCGGTTGAATTGTACAGAATTTGAAAAGGAAATCGAGCATGTTTTTAAGGGTTGCATTGGAGCATGAAAGAAATGTGTTTATAAATCAAAATCATTTTCTGTAGGCCCTCAGCGAGCACAGCATTTCAAGGAAGGCATTGGCAAATCTTTTTGTAAAGTGCGGAATTGTTTCCTATTATAAACAGTTCTTACTGGTAGAGCTGTTACACACACACACACACACACACACACACACACACGTGCAAAAATTTATAAGGGTGATAGGCGGTTTTAACAGAAAGGTAAGGAGATAGGCAAAGAGGGATGGAGGGAAGGAGAGAGAAAAGGAAGAAAGGGTAAAACAGAAGGAAAGAAGGAAGGGAGGGAAGGAGAGATGAAGAAGGGAAGGAAGGAGGGTAGAGCAGGATGCAAAAGCCTGGAAATGAGAGAGAGGTTAGGCTGAGACATAAATTCAGGAGCCATAAACATAAAAGGGGTCAGTGAAGTTTCCAGAGGAGTGTGGGAGAATAAGGAGAAGACCAAGGGCAGAGCCCTGGGACACACTCAGTCTCCGGGGCTGCAGGTGGAGAGGAAGGAAGGAAGGAAGCAGCCAAGGAGCAGGAGGAGGAGCAGTGGGGAGAAGGAGGGAAGCCAGGAGACTGTGAGGTCCCAGGAGCTGAGGAGGAAGGATTTGGAGAGGAGTAGAGAGCAACTATGCCAAATTCCAACAGGCCACATGTCATTGAAATGTGGCCATTTATCCAGTGCCAAGGCTGCTGGTGACCTTGAGAAATAGTTGGGGTAAAGAAGGAAGGGGGTGTAGGGGGAGGGAGTGAAAGCTGGGTAGAGTGGCATGAAAAGAAAATGGGAGGAAAGAAATTGGAGAGAGCAGAATGGTGACTCTTGTTTTGGTGTCAAAGGAAGCCGAAATAGCAGAAGAGGTTGACATTGATTTGTTTTTGTCTGAGGAGATTAGAGACTTAATGGTGTGCTTGTCCACTAATGGGAACAATTCAGGGAAGAAAGGAGCATGGATGACAAGGCTAGAGGGGGAAGGATACCACCCACAAACTGTCTTGGGTAAGAGGCGGAGGATTCACGTGATCAAAGGGTCTCAACCCAAGAGAAATTTCCCTGAGCCTCTTCCAACACAAGTGCGCTTCCTGCTAGACCTTTACCTCTCTGCAAACCAAGACTGTTAGTCTTTGTCATGCTGTCCGTTTCCTTCAGCAGGCTGCTTTCTTTGTTCAAAAACACACCATGAACATTACCCCAAGTCAGACTCAGAGGCCAAACTCTATCATTCTAATGGCTGCTTAGCATTAAATAGTACAGATGTGTCAGGACGTAGGCAGCCAATCTAAATGATGGACATTTAGAGTTATCCAATTTTGTCACTGCAAATAACATTGTAGTAGAGATCCTTACACAACTTTATATTCTTGAGTATTTCAGAAGGATCAACTACTTAAAGGTAGATTGTTAGAGCAAAGGTTACACGCATTTTGGATGATGATCAGTGTTGCCAAATGTCCTCCACCAAGGTCACCCTAATGAACATCCTACCAGCAAGATTTGAGAGAAGAATGTGACATGGAGGATGGACTTTTCCTTAAGCAGATTTGTTTAAAGCAGTTCAGTCTGAAAGTAGTGTCAGACCGGGCTGGTTGGCCAGCACTCCCTCCTCTGCACACTGCATGAATGAGCTCGCCCAGGCTGGTCTATGGGGCTGAAGAGATAGAGATTCAGAACAGACAGAAAAGAGAGGCAGTTGGGTGCGGTGGCACATGCCTATAGTTCCAGGTACTGGGAAGCTGAGGCAGAAGGGTCTCAAGTTCAAGGCCAATCTGAGATATATAATGAGAACTTGTCTCAAGAAAAATAAAATGGGCTTGGCATGTAGTTCAGTACTCCCTGGGTTCAATCCTCAGTATTTAAAAAAATGCTTAGGGCGGTGGATATAGCTCAGCGGCACAGCGCCTGCCTGGCAAGCACAAGGTTGTGAGTTCGATTCTTGGTACCAAAAAAAAAAAAAAAAAATGGTTACAGAGAAAGAGGCGGCAAAGGAGCAGGAGGACAGATTTCAGGGAGGCGCAGGGTCCAGGCAGCAGGTGTGAGCCTGGCTCCAGTATCTCCCTGTGGGATCCTGGGCTCAGCCTCTCACAGCCTGGTCACAACAGCAAACGTGCCACTGCGCACATCCAGTGAGATGATGGAAATGAGACAGAAGACATCGGGGCAGAGACCACAGGCTGCCCACTGACAATTATCTTCTTCTATTTTCTAACTAACAGAACCCTTGTTTTGTTGGGGAAAACAATTTTCTCTGCTTTAAAACATTACCTCTCTACCCCTTCTGCAGGCAAGCATATAATACGTGCAGCCAATGAGATGGGAATATATTAGATTTTCCCGCCCCTCTGTGGTCATGTGACACAGCTCCAGCCAGTGGTTGGGCTGGAGCCTGCTGGACTCCTAATAGATCAAATACTGCCCTTCCGGACCTGGGAAAATTGCTTGGTGAAGAAGCAGCAACACGGTGACCTCTGAAGTGTTCACATGGGCCTAGGACACCAAGGGGGACCAGGAGGTTGCCCCAGTGGCATAGTGGAGCTGCTGGACCTTCACCATAGGCCACCACCAGATGCCCCATTAGGTGAGAAAAAGAAACTCGTAACCTTTTCACACCTCTATGCATCAGGTTTCCCTGACTTTTGGTGGAATCTCATTCCTGAGTGCACAAGAGGTACTGGATGAAGGTCTTCTCTCTCTAGGAGAGAGACCAGGACACTCCCTTCTCACCTGGTCAGCTGTGTGTTGGAGCTCAGGTGTCTGGGCCTCTCAGCCTCCTTCCCTCATCTATAACTAGGGCAGCAGTCTCAGTGACAACAGGCTTGCGGGTATCAAAAGAAGAAAAATTACATAAACTCTTCGGAAGCATCTGCCCAGGATGGGGGAGGCAGGTGGTGCTGATCTCTGACAGGCAGCAGCGTGACGGAAACCCTGCCTGCTCTCAGACCCCCGGTTGTCTTGCTTTTAGATAGGACATGGGTGCACCTTGTAAAGGGCTCGCTGGTCACAGGACAGAGGTCAGTAGTGGGTAAACACTCAGGCACAATTGGTTGCCACCCAGGGCCACAGGGGTGGCAGCTCAGGGTTCCTGCAGCCAGTGGTGCAGCGGAGAGCATTAGACTGGGAGCCAGAAGCCCTTCCTTCCAGATGTCTCTGCCTGTCCCTCCCCCGGGCCTCAGTCCTTCCCCTGTAAAAAGTGAGGTTTTGCTAGGTGAACATGAGGGACCTCCCCAGCTCTCGTTCTCTTGGAGCTGGCTTTCTTGCACTCACAGACCCACAGGGAGATGCGGTAGAGGTGGCCAAGCTTGGGGTCAGCTATATGATCAAGAATGTGAAGAGCCTCAGCGTTCTCGGGTAGACATCTCCAGCTGGGCCCTGCTGGACACAGCACGGAGACAGCACAGGCCCATGTGGGGAAGTTGGTGGAAGGGGCCAGGGAGGTTTTCAGAGATCCCTTTTCCCCTCTCCCAGAGCAAGGTGGACTCTGGATCATGCGAGCTGCCCTTGTCTTAATGGAGAGAGAGGTTCTCCTTGTTGAAAGATTGCAGTAGTCTACAACAACCCCCAGCAGATAGACACCTGCTGGAAGGACTTCTCCCTGGGAAAATCTGGTTCTTCCACTAATGAGCTGTGAAACCTCGGGGTGGCCATTTAACACCTCTGCATCTCTGCTGTCTTATGTATAAACATGAGGGCATTAGACCAGGTGCTTGCAAGGGCCTTCCAACACTAAAATACCGAATTCTAAAGTTAAGCTAATAGCAGTTGCAATCTCACTAGATTATTAGGGAGATGAAATGAGACCAGTGAAGCTCCAGGGATATTAGGATTTTCTCCTTTTCTTCCTGGGAAAAAGGAGGAAAACTAAAAGCTGTTTCACTAAAAACACTGTTTTCCTTTGTTTTCTTTCTACCCAGTACCCTTGTACTGGTAAAGCTGTGCCCAAAATGTGCCTAACTGAGCCCAATTCCAGTTTAGGCTGAGTTAGTTAGTACTGAGTTCCAGTATCCCTCCCGGCTACTAAGGTGCTCCTGGAGTGGATTATTGCGTTAGGAAGTCCCTCTCCCTGGCCATTCAGGTTGGCTCAGGAATGGGATGTGAACAGTGGGAGCTGTTGCAGAACCTTTGATCACCTTTTGGGGAAGAGACCCCTCCGTTCTCTCCTGGGCTCCAACCTGGAGGAATACCATCTGGCCATCCCACTGTGGGGAGGGGGGACCCTGAGCACGACCTTGCATGAGGGAGAGATGGTAAAAGATGGGGATGGGCCTCACTGGCACCATTGAGCCTCAGCACCAAGGTCTAACGCAAGACCTTTCCATTCATTCCTGAGCTTTTCGGCTACCTAAAACCATTTAGGGCTTCCAAGTGCCAGCAAGTCAGCACCGAGTTTTCTGCGGCAGGAAGTACACACGCCTGCTGGCTGCCTCCCCCAGTACTGCAGTCCCAAGCTGAGCCCAGCACAAAACTCTGCTGGCTCAGCCTCTCCTTGGGCTCCCGCTTACCCTTCTCCCATTGTCTTTCTTCCCACAGAGGAAGCTGGAGAAACCACCCCATAATGGCCTCTCCAAGGGCAAGGGCACATTAGCCCCAGACTCTAATGGACCAAGCAGCCCTGCACCACCAGACCCAACATCACGCCATGAACCCGGAGGGCTGCTGAGCCAGCACCGTGAGTTCTTGGTGCTGAATTGCCTTCCTCTGGCAGAGGGCAGCTAGAGCTGGGAAGCCACTGGGTAGATTTAAAGGGGACAAGAGAGGGAGTGGTGTGGCCAGCAGAACCCTACACAGTTAAGCGCACAATTGGGAAGGGGTTTATGAAATGACATTGGCCTGCAGAAGGGCAGACTAAGCCCAGAGAAGGCAAGTGACCTGGCCCAAGTAACACAGTAGTTTAAGAAATGGGCTCAGATCTCCTGATGCTGAGCTGCTCTTTTTCACCCTGCTGTCTTATCCTCCAAGGACTAGGTTCTCTCTGCCTGAGGTCTCCGTGTCTCTCCTTCCCTCCCTCATGATTCTCCACAGTCAGTGTTAAGCCAGCCCTTCATGGAGGGTCCTTGCCTGCTCCCTTAGTCTCCATCACATTGAACTCCCCCAGGTCCCAGCTGGGTCCTCTCAGTTCCTCCCCATTAGCAAGTCCTGCGGTGCAGATGAAGAGAGAACACAGACAGGCTCTGTGGTTTCTTCTATACTCCACCACTAGCTGGGTTGCTGCTGCAAGCTGCCTGAGGACCCAGCTGGGACCTCATAGCCACCCTGTCACGCACGGTTCGTTAGCTCTGCCTGCTAGTAAAGAAACTGAAGAACTGAAAGATGAAGTCATCCCCCAAATCACCCATGTGACCCCAAGGAGCCCCAAGGGGCCCCTGAATGGCACACACATACCCACTCCCTCCACTCCCCCAGACTATGGAGATGTGGTTTTCTGTGACCTCCAGGTATGTTCCCAGCTGTGGCCCCTTATACACTCCTCCTGGTCATTATTTACAGGAATCACCTTGTTGATCCTGCCTAGTTAAGATCAGAGACTGTCTCCTGGATCCAGAGGCCATGACCGTTTGGCTAGCAGATACTGTGTGCAACCCCAGTCCTGTCCCCAGTGGCTTGTGTGGTGACAGTCACAGTGCCCTGTGTCTGCAGAGAGGCCTGCTCCACTTCAGTCTTTGCAGTGATTACAAGATGGCTTGTTACAGAAGCTGATTTATGGAGGTGGGGAGGTTTCAGATGAAGATCTCTGCAGTGGGTTTGCTAGGTGGAGGCAAAAACACAAGGCCACTAGGTAGTCATTTGGGTAACACAGTGACTATAGCAGAAGTTTAATTGCACGTGAAATCAAGAGCATGGCTTCCCCAGGGCAGCCCTTCTCCAGGTGCAGGGCTTGGCGGGTCTGCTCAGGCCTGGCTACCCATAGGCAGAAGCGATCCTCACCTCTGCAACCTCAGGGGCATTCCATGATCTCTCCCTCCGGGGAAATTCTCTTCTCATTTCCCACTCCAACTGTCCCAGTAGGAAGTGGCAGATGACAGAAGCAGGCAAGAGATAGAGAAAGAAAAGCAGCAGGGGTTGGAGTTGGGGTTTGGAGTCCAGCCGACCCTCAAACATACATCATGAACAGCTCATTGGCTGATGACTTTGAAGAACTCTTTGAGCTTCGATTGCCTTATCCAAAACCAAGACCTATAACTCCTGTCTTTTTAGAAATGAGTATTTCCTCATGGTCCAGCCCTCCTGGCCCACACCAGACAAACATCGCACTTCGCTCCAGGGCCTCTCAGTTTTTTTTGTTGTTGTTTCTGTTTTTTGTTTGTTTGTTTTTCTCTGGTACCAGGAACCAAACTCATGACCTTGCACTTGCCAGGCAGGCGCTTTTGCCGCTGAGCTAAATCCCCAGCCCCTAAGGGCCTCTCAGTTTAGAACACAAGAGAGTGTCACTGAGCCGATGAGAGCCAGCCAGGGCCACACGTGGTTCAGGGACAGATGTCACCATTTGGGTGTGGCTTTGGTGAGTCGGATATGAGCAGAGAAGCCAGTCTACAAGGACAGAAGACCAAAGGAAAAGAGAATGAGCCACCCTTCCAATGCAGTGGGGAGTGAGAGGCAGATTCTGAGAGAGATCAGCGAGATCTCTTTCGCATAATTTTTAGGCCTCAGGACAATTGACTATTATTTCTACACTTGAGGTTTGAGGGGGTCCTATGGGCTTCTGGTAAGACCTCTCCTACTTTGCTGATTCTTATGTGGGCCTGTAACTTATTTAGAGTTTTATCTGTTGCACATGAAGAAGATTCTATTCAAATTTGCCTAAGCAAAAAGGAATCCACTGATTCACGTAATGGAAATTTGGGGGACAAATTTGGCTCCAGAAGCGGCTTGCAGGGTCTTCTAGGGATGTCACCAAGACCTGGTTTGTCTTCATTTCTCCTTCACATTCACACTCTTCTTTCACAGGCTCCACCTGAGCTGGTGCAGTGGCTGAAGTCGGTGAACCCACAGTTACAGCAAGTAGAAGTATCCTGCTCAGAAGCCCCATTATAAGCCCACAGCATCTCCCTAATTCCATGGGCTCTTGTGCCCTCTCTGAGCCAAGGACTTTGGCTAGAAAATTGCACAGATTGGTTTCCATACTGGTCACAGGGCCCTTATGGGTGCAGCCTCTGGGGTAATTTAAACAATAAAAAAAATATATGTTAGGAAAAAAATAAGCTCTGGGTCACCATGGATCTCACAGTGTCATTATGGAAAGTAAGTTAACGTGGGCAAAGACTTGAGCCCATGCCTCAGATATTTGCAGTTTGGAACATATTTCCTCACAAAACAGTTGTAAACCTGGGTCAGCCCATTGAGAAGCTCTAGTGGCTATGGCACTCTTCACCATAAACGAAAGCATTCCTTTGAGAACATATGTCCCAACTTGAGGCACAAGTAACACCCCCTCCCTCCCACAGACCACTCCCAAGAAAGAGAGGTGATTATTTGGACGCAAAATGAGCACAACCGGGTGAGCCAGGCTCTGCAGACGTTGATGGCCGGGGCAGGGTCAGAGCCAGTGGAGGGCAGGAGCAGAAACACACCCTGCATTAGTGCCCATTAGACACCAGGCAGATGGCTCCCACCGTTGGTCAAGGCTTCCTGTACACCATCTCAGCAGTTCTCACGACTGGAAGAAAGGACTGCTATAAACCCATTTTACCAAACGTGGATCTGGGACCTTGAAAAATTAAGGAACCTACTGAACAGAACTCAGAGCTTAGATGTAAATCGCAGACCATGACTGCAACCCCCCTTGCAACCCCCACAAAATCACAGCCGCTGCAATCTCTTCACTCACTCCCCTGCTTCTCGGTGTTCACTTGTGCACCTTCTAAGGCTCCACGGCTACCCTGGGAAGCAGGGCCTGATTGAATCACCAACCCCCATCTATAGACGAGGAAACAGGCCCGGAAAGGGGAGGCATCTTACCCAAAGTCACACAGTAGGAAGAGGTGGAACCGGGCTCCTCCTCCAGGGCTCTTTACCTCACACCCCTCAGAGGAAAGTATGGACTGGAGCCTTTACCTGCAGTGGGGGAGCTCTGAGCTCAGCCTCTCACCAAGTGGCCAGGGCTCCTGCTAGTCTTCACCAATTCTCTTCCTCCTCCTTGTTACCTTCAAAGAGAGACCCCACCCTCAGGGGAGCACAGAGCCCTGTATCGAATGCAGGAGTCTCATCTTCCTGGGGCGTGGAAGCGTGGAAGCCCCTCAGGAGCATCAGTGGACTCCAGCAGGGGAAACAGCAAACCCCATGCCTCCCCGGCTCCACAGGGGCTGGGCCCTCGTGGTGAGGGAGGCAGAGTGTGGCACTCTACAGAAAGATGCTGTCTACAGAGGAACCAGGTATAACCAGGGGTCTGGAGCTAACAGCAGAGGACAGAACAGATTGGAGCAGAGGAATCAGCCCACAGCTCAAGCAGCTCCAGGGTGGAGGAGGGACAGGTGGCACCTGGCCACCCTTGACCCTGGAAACCCAGCACCAGTAGTCCCAGGGGACATTAGGGACACTCAGGTATCCCAAGGTCTCTCAGGACTCCCAGCTCCTAACCAGGCATTGCTGTTTAAATTAAACCACAAAGAGGAGAAACTGCTAATATCCCTGGAGCTTGGCTCATCTCATTTCCTCTTCCCAGTAATCCAATGAGATTGCAACTCCTATTGCCCTAAATCTAGAAGCCTCTATTTCAGAGTTGGAAGGACACATACATGCCCCACCCTCTTGCTTAGAGACAAGGCAACAAAGACTCAGAAGTCAAACAACTATCTTAAGGGCACACTCACTCTGCTCTAGCTGGGGGGTTCAGCTTTCCTGGACCTGGAGTGCATACTCCCTGGGCACCACTGTGGAACAACCCTCTAGCACCAGCCCTAATGGGACCAGCCTGCGACACTGGCCCTGCAAGAAGAACCCTAACATCTGAGCCCATCTACTCTTGTCCCCTCTCTCCATTTGCCTCTCCCCACCCTTCCCCACACCCTGAAGGAAGAGTTCTAATAAAAGAGCACCTTGCTCAATTCACCCGAAGTCCCCATCAACCTTGCGTGGGAGACAGGGGAAAGCTCTAGGTAATAACAGAGTTCAGGGGTGCCCAGAAAAACTGAGAGGTTTGCAGCCTGCACCGCCACCTACTTTCTGGCCCATTCAGAAAAGTTTAGCCTTGTCTGAATCTCAAACTTATCCTTTGTAAAAGGGAAGGTCTCCTTTCCCTCTATAGAATTCAGTTTTCCATTGATGAACTGCAACACACACACACACACACACACACACACACACACACACACTCACACACACACCTCCACTGTTTAGCTATATCTGTGTTCTTGGCTGGAATGGGAGCTCCATAAGGCAGGGCTGAGCCTGTCTTGTTCACCTCTGTGCCCACTGTACAGCACCCAGAAATTCAGACCTCAGGAAATTCTTGTTAAATAGATGCATGAAGAAGGTGACCTCCGACAGCCCTTGCTTGTGAATGTGTGGTCTGTGGGGCAGCAGCAGCATTTCTTGGGATGCTGTTAAAAGCCCAGCATCTTGGGGCCCCTCCGGTCTCTGGACCACCTCCTGTGCCTGCCCAAAATTCCAGGGCAGACACATCTAATCCCACAAGCTCTGTAGTCTCTGCTGCCTTCCCCAGCCTCCTTCACCCCCACCTTCCCACACACAGTCACACCACTTTCCTTGGGGACTGGTGGGAAGGTTAAGTGAGACTGTGGGTCCAATGCGCCAGCTCCTAGGAGATGGCCAGTAAACAGGGCTCCATCTCTTCTCTCTCCAGACCATTGAGGGACATCTGTGAGCAGCCGGCTCCCTGCCACTAGCAGCCTCTGGAACTCACTGTGCAGCCCAGCTGGGAGTACCAGTCAGAATGCAGAGAGCCCTAGCCCTCTGCTGTGGGTCCTGGCCCCCCACTATAACTAGCACCTCCTCCAGTCCCACTCCTTGGTACATAATTGCGGTCTGCCTACCACTTTTCCTGCATGGCACTACAGCCCTTTCCAAAAAGCCTGTGGGCTACCCAGGGACCTCTGTGTGCCTCCCTGTGGGCATCCTATGGGAAAGGTCTCTCCCCACCCTCTCTCAGAAGCTGACTCTGCTGCCACCTGCATGATAGCTGCTGGCCATCCCCTCATCCCTGGTACCAATTGCTGGTTGATGTCCCTGCCATATGAGCCCTGCCTGTCAAGCTCCTGCTGAGCTCTGAGTGAGGCCCACCCAACTCTGATGCTCCAGTACCTGTGACCTTGGTCCTCTGGCTGTCTTCTCTATCCTCACTACGTGTGGTGTGAAGGCCAGGACAAGGGTTTATCCTTCCCAAATCTCCAGCCCAACAGCAAACAGGGTACAGACAGGCCCTAGCAAATACTGGCTAACTGAGGGTCTGAATGAACTAAACCCCTTCCTTGGGCTCTTTGTGGACATAGTGGGACCTTGTCTTCATTTTCCTGTTTCTGGTGAGATCTCCAAGGCTACATTCCCTGCAGTTTCGGGTTCAAGCCCTTTGCCCTCTTTTCTACAATGTCACTTTTCTGGCTTCATTCTTTTGCAGATGAGCCCAGCGGGGAGATGAAGAAGTAGGCGAATCCTTCCCAGTCCCCTTCTCCAGGCAGAGCCATTGCTCCTAGCAGGGAGGAGAGTGACCCAGACACTGCTTCTCCCTGACAGGGGGAGCTGGGGTGAGGATAGGAGCAGGAAATGTCACACACACACACAGGGAGACAGTGATCTCAGACATAACACGGCCCTGGAGAGTACAGATGCAGACACCGTGACCACTGGTACACACATCTTCCCGTCTTGGTGTGAGACAGCCTTGGTTTTCTCCTGGCACAGGTTCCAAGCATGGTGTTTTCCTCTACTTGATAAAGTGTAATTTATTTAAGGCTCTCTGATGGTTATTCATGTCTCCAAAGCATACTTTTCACAGGGAAGATCAATTCCAAGAAAACACTTAAAGTCTGTGGAACTTAGATCCATTAACAAGTGCTAAGTGGCCCGTCACTCACCAAGGGGCCTTTGCCGAAGACCCAGAAATGATAAAATTCTGCCTGGCTGCTCCACAGGAAGCCCTGAAGCCATATTTACAACAAGGGTTATGAACCTGGGTTTTTTTCCTCTGCCTGAAATTGAGTTTATTCTGGAGTTTGTGGAAGATGGTCAGCCAGCCCCATGTGGTCCATGGAGGAAACACTCCCAGGTCACTCCTGAAACGGTCTCTGCTCCCCAAAGTCTGTTACTGTATTCATGCCCGTGTGCATCCCAGAGCCCCTGGTAGTGTGACTCAGTCATCCCCACAAGAGTTTTGGCAGCGTAAGCAGGGACACCTCAGTGTTACAGATCATGGAAACAGGCAGAATAGGTGGGGACTGTGACTCAGCCCAGACCACTACCAGAGGAAGAGGGGATCTCAAGGGGACAACAGAAGATGAACAGAGATAAATAACAGGGATAAATCCAAGGATAAGTACTCCGAGTACTGATAAGATGTGAGAGCTAAGCCTTTATCTGATAAGGGAAAACTCTCACAATAAAAATAAAAGATAATGACAGCAGCTCCCAGCCTGGGATCTAATCTGTGTCCCACCCTACATGTCAGTGATTCACATGTGTTACTTCATTTAAGTCTCATAATAGCCCAATAAGTTAGGTGGACTATGACACACTTCTCAGATGAGGAAACAGAGACTGCTGGGATAAGAACTTTGCCCTGAAACATTCAAGTTGCAATTCAAATCCATGTCTCTCTGATGCCAGAACCTGAGCCCTTCACTACTGCACCTCCAACTCTTGCTTACATACTCCCCTTGATGGGGAGCTCAGCACCTCCAGAGGCTGTCCTTTCCATGTCTGGGCAGCTTGGACTATTGGAAAGTGCCTTCCTTTGGGTCACAGGAGGACATCTACATTCTCTGCCTCCTGGCAGTCCTTGCTGCATTTGCTGATAATTCATCTCTGCACCAACTTTGCTTCCAGAGTTCTACAGTCAGTCCCACCCCTTTAGTGGGACTTAAACAGCCCCTCCATCCAAGCATGGATCGCCTCTCTTGCTTTTGCACTGTCCAGTGCAGTTTTCCAGGGCAGGACCCAGCTGAAGCCTCTGTCTGCCCCAAAGATCCAGCAGTGCACTAGGCCACTTGTCTCACTTTTTTACTGACCCCTTCAGAA